CAGCGTGTGAAGCGAGAGAGGGCTGCGGTGTGCTGCAGACCTCGATCTAGCCCGAAACCTAGCAACACACCCGCGTAATGTGTCAGAAACGATGTCAATTGTCAAGCACACGAGAAAATGCCTTTCGATTGACAAAAAATACGAAATAATCTAGGCTGTTGACAAAAAGCAAGCTCCACTGGCAGAGATTTGTCTTCAGTTCGACATTCCACAAGGGTCGATTCACACCATTATCAAGGATAGAGAGAAGATACTGGCAGCATACTCCAATAGAAAGTTTGCTTTGGATCGAAAGAAGATGAGACTAGGCTACTCGATGCAGATGCTGTGGACCAAGCTCTTCTGATGTGAGGCAATGGAGAAAGTTGGTGCCAAAACCCCTGTTCGCGGGTACTTGTGGCAAAGGAAACTACCCATGAATAAGTACCGCTGGATTAGTCCACAAATGCTCACTTTCCTTGCATTTCTGATTTAACAGGGATCGAATATAACAGGACATATTCTCTACTCCCACCATCCCTGTTAGATCAGGTTTCCACTGTATATACACACATATATAAATAGAAAGAAAGATAGATAGATAGATAAAAAGATAGATGGATAGATAGATAGATAGATAGATATATAGATAGATAGATAGATAGATAGATAGATAGATAGATAAGAAACTTGAAAATGTAATCACCCAATCATCGTATTAAAGCCGTGCACTACCCACTCAAGCAGTATACCAATTTATAGCTAAGTAAATTCTGCATCATTAGACACATTAATTTTTCTCCTATGTTAAAAAAAACCCCGAGATATGGTCACTCAAAACTGATGGTAAAAATTCAGGCTTTGCAAAATTGTGCGGAAACAAAGGAACTTATTTGAAAGTGACACGCAAGGTTCATGGTAGCAAAACCCTCTTATGGTCTTTGAAAAAAAGGAACGCCTCGCACACAGAAAGCCTTTTCAATAGGTCATGATCATTAATTTTCATGGTCAAGGAGGCTTTGAAGATCATACGAGGTCAAAAGAATGAGACATGTACACTACACCCAACACCCCCCCCCTCCGCCCATTATACAATAGTGGCAACATTACACCTTTCGAAAGCACTTTGTGTACAATTTGCCAGACATGTACAGTTTCTAGAATATTGACAGACATGCCAAAGAAGAGCGTCTTACAAGCTTCTAAGATGTCAAAAGTTGAAGAAGACAATTCAGAAAAAGCGATGAAGAAATACGTCTCTCTCTCCCTCTCTCCCTCTCTCTCTCTCTCTCTCTCTCTCTCTCTCTCTCTCTCTCTCTCTCTCTCTCTCTCTCT